GGCATTTTGAGAGCACCATGTGCATTGAAAGCAAACGTTGGAACAGCAGGTTTCTACTGAAAATATTTACCCTTTCTTTGTGGGCAACTTGTCACTGTGGGGGAAATAGCTGCTTCATTAAAACCTAAATACATTATGCTTTCTATCTTGCACATCACTCTCCCAAAATGGAAAAGCACTATGTGAGGTGCGGAGAAATCATTCTGGTCCTACTGTTTTACATATGTTGGAATGTCTTCTGGCATCTATCCCTTCCTGTTCAACATTTCAACATCTTTAACTCACATGGGGACATTCTGGAATGGGAGGGCAAATGTCCCCACTGGGCAGCTTGTGGCCAGCAGGGTCTGTTGCCCTGGGCAGCGAATGCAGCTGCCATTTCTCCAGCAGAACCGGGCCTCAACACAAAGTTAGTGTCCAGTACCCCACCAGTTCAATATTGTGGAAAAGGGGGTTCAGAGAGTGTGCTGCCCCGGTTTCAGGTCACGCGGAGCTGAGCTTCCTCTGCAGAACTCTTGGCTTCTGCTCTTGGCCCATCGCTGTGTGCTGCTCTCTCTCCCCTTTGCTGTATCATGCTTCCACCTTCCCCCACTGGGCATGCTCCCTGCCCAGAGACCTGGGTGCCCGAGCCCGGCTCCCTGCCACGACATTGGAGACGGAAACCCTGGGCACACTGCGTTGTCCTGACCCGTCAGAAAAGAGAAAGCACAAGGAGCTGATGGAACAGCCCCTGTGGGCTGTGGTTAGGGGTGACCCAGTGCGGCCTCTAAAGGAGACAGGAACCCCACCCTGGATGCCAGCCAACCCAGAGAAGATTTGGCCTCCATCATAGCTCCCTGGATCTCCAGAGGGGAATTAGTTCCTATTCTATAAAAATTAAGAACCTCTGTTTATCAAGATACCACAAAGTGAGAAGAGAAGGCATCAACTGGGAGAGAACATTTATAGCATGCAGAACCAGCAAAGGAGTAATTCCTAGTGCCAGTAGAACTGTGCAATATATTACTTGGGCATGCCTACAACTGTGTTCAAATGGTAGCTTTAAAACAGACAGTGGGTGTAATAATCCAAAATTCTGAGCACTTTCCTCCTCTGAGACTGAAGGACATGTGGGAGAGGCCCGGTGGGTCCCGTTCTCTCTCCTGCCTCGCACTCAGGGAGCCCACTGTTTTATTAGACTTTCACAAATAGCGTGCACGCGCCATCCAAACCCTTGTATACATCAGACCGCACACTTCTAGAGAGTAAAGGTAAAATGTAATGGGTTATTGCTATCAGCAGCCCCTCGAGGCCATGTTAATACTGCCATTTTTACAAATGGGGAAACAGAGGCTTAGTGCGGTCAAAACACCAACACTGAGGCTCAGCGTGCCAGCTGCTTTACACACGTTGTCTTCTTCAGTTCGTACGCACCTCTGTGGGTAGGTGTCATGGCGATTTTTAAACAGCAGAGACTTCGTGAGATGCAGTGAGGTCATGAGGCGGCATCAGTTGGCCATAGTTGGTCGCCAGGGTGTCGTCGCCTGCGGCGCGGCCTTCTCCCTCTTGCTGGCATGAGCTGGGCTCTGCTCCGCCGGCCTCTCCTCCAGAGTGAGCCGCGAGCCGGCATCCATCTGTGGTGCCAGTTTCAGCACCGGGACACGGGGCTCCCTGGGCCGCCCTGCAGCCAGGCAGCTGAAGTCCCTTGGTGGTTGGCTCCTGCTGCCTCCGCAAGAGACCAGCGACGGGGTGGCTTGCACAACAGACATGTGCTTCTCCCTGTCCTGCGGGGCTCAAGCCTAAGGTCAAGGTGCAGCCGTCCCATTCCCCGGAGGGCTACTCTGGCTCCCAGATGCACCTCACAGGATGGAGACAGGCACCAGACAGCTCTCTGCTCTCTCTTCCTGTGCAAACGCCAGTTCCCTCCCCATCCCATCTAAACCTAGTCACCTCCCAAAGAGCCCACCCCAAATACTATCACACTGGGGCACATGCCATTCAGGCCCTAGCAGGCAGTAACGAGGGAGAGCTACAGAGAGCCAGAAGAGACGGTTTCGGTTTATTTCTAGTGTACGTTTTCTGCTTCTTATTAATTAATTACTGAGGTCACACAGTCCTTTGTCCTAGACCGTTAGGCCCCTCCGCTTTGCCCACGCAGTTCTTCTGCCATCTTTTAAGCTTTGTTTTCTCAGTTCTGTTCACCTGTTTCTCTGTGTTCCGCTCGTGAGTGACATCACCCAGAGGTGTCTTTCTCTCTGATGTAGGTCAGCATCGTCCCCCGCAGTTCCAGCTACTGCTCATCTGTAAGCCCTGTGCATTATAAAGAGAGGGTTCTCCCAGCCCTCAGCCCCCTCTTTTGCCACAGGGCAGCTCCACTTGACGGACTCCCGTGGCTCTCCCCACTCTGACGACCTTCCGATGCCCCCAGGGCACCCCCTGTTGTTTTACTGTGCGGTTCTCCAGCGCTGATTTTGGACCCAGTTCCCGCCTGTGGGGCAGGCAGGCCTTTCCAGTTCACTTGGTGTCCCCGCTAGTTGTTGGGCCCAGCACTGTGCCCTGGGCCCCCTTCCCCCAGTGCTCCCCAACCCAGCCTCCCAGGGGTCCTCCAAGGTGACGCCCACATTATCATCTCACCGCAGGGGGACTGCAGGGCAGAGGCTGAGGAGAAGCCTGGGGAAACCCCAACCTTCGACAGTGCGTAGAATGAATAGCTAGGCTGGGAGAAGTTACAAAACTACTGTTAAGTCTTCTTCAAATTCTCTTTGGATAGGGAGTTTCTCCCCCGATAAATCGTAAAGTCCTTTCAGTTATCAGTTTACAATGCATGTGCTCCTTGGCAAGAGGTTCGAGGACAAGATTGTTTGAAATGTGTGTGGTCGGCCGCTTTGCCTACGGTATCCGTCAAACGAGGCCACAGGGTGGCCACAGGGTAGCTGCACAATTACAGCTGAAGTGGACAGGACGGAATGTGTCATTCACATGTTTGTCCCTGAGCACCAGGGGAGGATGGTTCCTCACGCTCTGGCTTCCTGTGATTTCTCTCCTGCTTGAGCTCTACTCTTTTAGTCTAGGGGGAAAAATCTGTATTTGCTTTTTTAAAATCAGTTATATTCATTCAGAGACTCTGGGTTTTCTTTTCTATTTTCTTTCTTTGCATATTTGTTGATGTAGATTCTAGGATAGAGAATGAATATTCCCTGTGCAGACAAGGGGCTTGGTAAGATGAACCCCAGAAGGAGTTTTGCCTGGATTGGGGTACACTCTGACTAATGCCTGTGGGCATCAGAGTCTCATGAAGCCTGTTCTCTGGGGCTGGGACTGCAACAGTCTCATCTTGGACGAGCCTTTCATGGGTGCAGGACATGTGCTGGAAAGTTTGGTGGGGGATAAAAAAAACAAAAAAACTTGGAAAGGATGTACTTGCTGCAGGCACAGAAAAATCCTGGAAGAAAGTAACCAAAATATTGTCACAAGTAATTCTCCATTTCCCAAAGTTTCTATAAAGAGCACATATTAGTGGTATAATCAGAAAAACCCCACTTTCCGTTATTCTTAAATACCTCTAAGATTAAAATGTGATTTTTAAAAGATGTATTTATGTATGCATATAAGAACTGGGGTCCAGGCCAGAGGTGCGGGGAGGTGGGAGGATTCACCAGAGACAGTGAGGAACAGAACAGGCAGATTGAAATACACCGCTGAGGGGAGCAGCGGGGAGACAGGAGAGGTCTGCTGTGCCCTGTGGGTCACCCCCCTGGCCGGGGTTGAACTCCTGCTGCAGTGGCCTCAGCTGGCTTCACAGTGCTGAGACTTAACCCCTCGCACCACCAGGGAGGCCCCAGATTTAAATGTGTTTTGATGAAAGGATTTGCCATCACACACTGTGAGCTGGGCCTGGTGTAGGAGGGTCTCTGGGCTCAGTGGCCTCCTCGCGTGCTGATGAAGGTCAGCGTGGCACAGCCTCAGAGGAGTCCTGCTTAAGTCTTTACTAGAATCCAGGCAGGGCCTGCCTGTGGCTGTCAGTACCCCCGTACCTGCTTCTCTGAGAGCCCCCCGCCCCCAGGTGAGATGAATTGGGAGGATAGAGGTAAGGGGCAGTCACACCTACTGGATGCAGAGTCTGATCATCATGGAACCAAATGGGGGGCCAGGAGGACCCTCTGGTTGAAAGATACTGGTGGAGCCAGCTCACCCCCTCTCTAGATGCTCTGGAAGCTGCTGTGCTCCCAGGAAACATGCAACCTGCACACAAGGATGAGAGCCCCCACCCCCTGGGGTTCCAGGTTAAAACTGGTTTTGAAATCAGGAAAGAATGATTCTTTAACAAAAAAAGAAGCTATCAACACCCTAGAAAGCTGAAAAAGACTCTGAAGTCCATTTTTACATTCACAGTACTGAAGAGTCTGCTCAAAACCTATTTCGTTTCAGGAGCACGACGACTTGCTCCGGCTGGTGGGTTCTGGCTTCTAGCGTGAAAGGAGAACTTGACAGTAGCATCAGAGCTGGTCTTGCTCTCTCTAGCCCTTCCAGAGCGAGCAGCCCGGAGGTCAGGGGCCCAGCCAGCCTTCTCCCCGGGAGCTGGGCACGGACCACCTGCTCCCTGGCTTTACTGTTAGTGTTACTTTAGCTTTTGTGTATTGCTGGTATGATTTGGTACTGCTCTTTTGGGTCAGGGGGTGCTCACAAATGTTGCCATGTAAATGAATGGTACCTGCTTCTTCTCTTTACAAAACACCTCTTCTTGGCCCACTCTCCTTTCCAATAGCCCGGAAACCTGTTTTCCTAACGGTTTTGTTTTCGTTGTTTCCATCATGTCTTGGGGCTACTCATCAACTTGACCTGAGGTGTCATTTGAACTCTTTCCCTTTGGCTAACACTCCGCGTGGACAAGGGTTTCCAAATGACATTGGAAAAACTCCTAACTTCCTGGGGCTCTCCAGAGGGACCCCAGCACGTGGAGGGCCACCTCTGGGGCTCACAGAAGCGTGAGCAAGCAGCTCCAGCCTCCCCTGTGCTTACAGGTATCCGGATGCTGGACGGGGATGTGACAGATGTCGTCGAGGCCAAGTCTCTGGGCGTCAGGCCCAACTACATCGACATTTACAGCGCGAGCTGGGGGCCAGACGATGACGGGAAGACGGTGGATGGGCCCGGCCGGCTGGCGAAGCAGGCCTTTGAGTACGGCATTAAAAAGGTGTGAGTAACCCGGGGCTACGATGGAACTTCGGGGCCGAGGGGAATAGTGATGATGGTTTTGACATTTAAAAGGCAGAGCCCCGCAGTGGGACCACAGAGGCTGGGCTGATCCAGAACCGCCGGGAGGGAGACCACATGGGAGCTTTCCACCAGTCAGAACACACATGCCCACCTGCATGGAATGGCAGCCCCCAGGCTGGCATCTGCCTTGGCTCTGTGCCTTGGAGCCCGACGGGCCCTGCCTGAGGGGTGTATGCAAGTGTGTATGGGGTTCGGGCTGCCTAGTCTCATCATTTAGCCTATCTGTGGGTGGAAGATAAGTCCTGGGCCTTAGTCCACCTGCCCACAGAAATGCCCAGTCTGAGCTTTCTGTGGCCATCACGGGGTGCACAAATCCAGCTCCCTGACCCCATGTTGGGGACCCACCTCAGTCTTGTCCTCCCTGCCAGCATGTCATCGGTACATTTAGAACTTCTTGAGCAGAACCTTACCAGGAACTAAACAGAACTAACATCCAGCACTGGTTCTCCCCCTACTGAGCTGCTGAGGGGACACGGGGAGGCTGGCAGGCCCCTCCACGAGGCTCACTGGCCAGGTCCACCGCCACCACTCTGATGGCCCTTTCTGGGGTCTTGTGTGTCAGAAAGGCAGGGGGAGGCAGGAAGGGCTGGCGACCACCCCGATCTTACAAACTGGGTGCCCAGACAGATTTCTGGGCCAGGACAACTTGTCCTTCTTGCAGCCAGCAGAACTGTGGTCAGCGTCCGGGTGGCCCAGCAAACCCCAACCCAGAGAGGAAGGTATGCCTCTGCAAGGCCAGCCAGGGTTTGGGCAGGAAATTCTGGCAGCCTGGGGCAGCATTCCTGCCTCTGACTTCCATGGGAGCCGGGAGAGCAGGTGGGGGAGGGGCCGTTCTATTATTTATACCTTTAAAATATGTTTTAAGTTACCGTATTGTGTCCATGCTTCGTCACTGAATGGTGGCCAATAAATAGTTAGTGAATAAATCCACTAGTACCAGTCTTTTTGTGTGTGTGTGTCCCTGCCCATCCCCCAGTCCTGCCCCACAGAGAAACAATTTTTTTTTTTTAAGTTTTTCTAAATAATATGATTTGATTGCTCTTCTGGATGTATGATATTGGTCCTTTTTCTATTATTTATTTATTTATTTATTTTATACGGGGTTGACCATTGGCTCTAAAATGCCACAGCCACACCTGACCCTCCCCCCAGCCCCTGGCTGGTTTCCTGCATCCTCAGACTTGGCAGGCTGAGATCACAGATGCATCACCCTGAACCTCAAGGCCAGGTGAGCTGCTGGCACCTCCTCCAGGTGTGACCACGCTCCAGGAGGCCCAGGCCGGCCTCCCTGCTGCTCTCTCCCTGAGTCCCCTGGGCTTGAATGTCTGAGCAGCCAGCGACCCAGAGCAGGGCACCCCTCCTCCTGGCCTTCAGGCTGAGCTCAGCCAGGCACTCCTTGTGAAATCCAGGCAGCCAGACCCACACAGCACGTGAGCCTCATTCAGCCTTGCTTCCATGACAACATGTAGTTTCCTGGGTCCCCACAGTGCCAAAGAAATGCCAAAACCATTCAAGCTGCTGAACTCCCAACTGCGCCAGGTGCTGGGCCCAGGGCATTCTAGAAGGTTCGGGCATGACCAAGTCAGGCACTGTCCGCAGAGGGGCTGCCTGATAAAAAAAATGTCATCTCCCCAGTACTCAACTCCCACCACCTACTGGGTCTTCTGGAGCCCACTCTTGCCAAGTGAAACAGCCTCCAATTGGGTTGAAGCTATAAGTCAGAGGGTGCGTGCTCTGCTTAGAAGATATGCTTCAAACGGGTTCATCCTGCACGTCTGTCATCTCCACAAGATGATTTCTAAAGATCTCAGGTTTTCGGGCAGAGGCCCTACTTCCAGAAGAGATGCTGGTGGTTTTCAAAGGATTTTCCAGGTTCTCACGTTCCCTCAGGTCCTGGGAGATGGAGCCTGGGAGGAACTTTGGAGAGGTCTGGAGCAGCAGAATGCTGAGCAGCGTTGCTTCATCGGCTGTCAGAGGAGTGAGGAAATTGCAGAGGGGATCATGTGGTTCCCCGTCATTCTTGTCACTATTTCTTGAAATACTGAGGTCATTCTTTTTTTTTTTTAGTCATTGGAAAGTAAAATATGTCACGTAGGGAGCCTTAAATCGCAGCTGTCTGAAGTTGTCACTGAGAATCCTCCTGGAAATTTGATGATCTCAAACCCAACCACAGCCCCCCATCTGTTTTTCCTCCTCACCACCCCATTTGTCACTGATGGCCTCTTTCTGTAAAGTCTGACTTCATCTTCGGTAGATGATGTGGTTTGGTGGTGGGAGGCTTCAGAAGCCATAATTGGCATGAAGCTCTGTTTAATGTCAGCCCTAGTGAGCCCTCCCATGGTCTGTCATCGAAAAGGAAGATTAAACGTCACTGTGGCCGACAACGCTGGGCATCTACTGGCCTCCTGCTACGGTGCCTCTGAGCTCCCTGGTGACTTCTCCAGTGCCCGGCAAGATGCTGAAGTCCATTTTGCTGGGGCTGTGCCTGCTGCTTTCCTAAACAGAAAGGCAAGGCCGTGGCTAGGGTGAAATGCCCCATGTGGCTTCCATCCCGTGGCTGTCCTGTGAACAGAGACCTGGAAAGTCAAAACGCAGCTCTCAGACCTCGGTGTTTCCCTGGCTCGGTCAGTCCCATGTTCTCTTTCCAGAAAACTTTTTGGAAGTTTTGGAAAGAGGCTTCTGAGGCCTGTGGGAATTGATCCAGAAAATGCTGTGTCAGAAGATGCTGGCCTTGGGCATTTTAGGCCCTTAGTATCCAAAGTGGAGTCCAGGCCCGCAGCATGGCATCACCTGGGAGCCTGTTAGGAACAAGCAATCTCAGGGCCCTCCCTGGTGGCGCAGCGGGTTAGGGCACAGCCCTGCAAGCCAGCCGCAGCCGCTTCAGTGTGAGTCCGATCCCCGCCCCGGAGGTGACCCACATGGCGCAGCAGACCCCTCCTGACCCGCCCGCTGCTCCCCTCAGCAGTGTACTTGGTCCATCTGCCTGTTCTGCTCCCCACTCTGTCTCACCGCCCCTATACCTCTCTCCTGTACCCCAGTTCTGTAGGAATAAATAAATAAATCTTAAAAAATAAAAGAAACGGGCAGTCTCGGGTTCCGCCATAACCCACTGAGTGGGAATGTGACGGCGCCCCCGGGAGTGGGAGATGAGGCCACTCTCTGTGCTGAGGCTACATAAGGCGGCACCCTTCGCTTTGATCACTGACCTGGAGTCGAGTAGGGAGCTGGAGGTGACAGTGTGCGCGAGATGGTGGGCTCTGACGGGCTAGACACCTTCCCTGGGAATTTTCATGGCTTTGAACTAGCTTCTGATGAATCTTTTCCTGCAGGTAGTTGTATGCGTAGACCCACCCATTTTTCTAGTACTCTGTGCCTTCCTCTCAGAAGCTTGACCCTTTTGCTAAATGTGAGTTCTGTCCAGCCCGTGGCAGGGTCCACCTTGGAGATGTGAAAAGCAGAGAGAAATGAGGTGGCTTGGAGCAGTCGGCCTGGGCCAGAGGACCTTACCTGTGGACTCAGGGACAGTCTGGGAGGGGCTGGAGGAAAGGCAGGAGTTAGGACATGTATGAGAGAGGGCACCGTGGCCCACTTGCCAAGGGGCGTGCGTGGGCTTCCAGTGCGCAGGTCCGTTCAGCAGTAAGGATTCGGTGTGTCGCTGTAGATCTTGCAGATTTGGGGGTGTGTGAGAGGGTGAGGGGGGTATGTTGGGGACTTGTGTGGGAAGTTACCTCTAAGCCAACCAGTGTGTGGAAGCACGCACTCCGTGCACGTCTGGAAAGGAGGGTCCCCAGCAGGTGATTGGTGTGGAGACCCATGTTGTGTCCCTCTGAGAGCCGGCCGGGCACCAGCAGTCTGTCCACACTCTTGGGCCACATTTTCAGTGTGGTCTGGAATTAGCTGATCTTCAGCTGGTGTTTGTGGCTGGGAAGAGCTCTCGGTTTGCTGGGAAATCATTGATCCTGTGGGTGTGGGCTCGAACAGAACCGTGGAAGCCTGCCCCCGGGCCCATGGCTGTCTCTCAAAGCCTCACTTTCGCATGATTGTTCTTGAAAACAAAAACCTACACTCCAGGGGAGCCGCCAGCCTTGGCTGGCATCGCTAATCTGACATGTCAACGCTTCCCACGGTGGGGACCCCAGAGGGCTCCCAGGATAGCCGCCAGCAGCCATGGGTGTTCTGGAACACAATCCTTCTTCCTCGTTTGCTCTTCGCCCAGAATTCATGGCCCCACCCCTCTTTTCAAAGAGTTGGCTCTCTAAGAAGAGTGCTGCTTCAACTCCGTCGTCAGGAAGACTCGCTGTGCTCCCCCTGGACTAGCTGTTGTCCAGGCAAGTTGACACGCCATCCCCCGCCATCCTCGCTCATCTCAGCACCACTGCGGGCACTGTCAGGCCCTTTAGGTCGTGGGTGATTATCATGGAAATTATAACTCTGGAGTCCAGCTTGTAGGAAGGTTCTCGAGTTTCCTGCGAAGAGAGACATCTTTTGGGCTTGCTCCCCAGCCCCTGGGCGTCGGTGGCATGGGACGGTCTGGCCACGTTCTTCTTTGCTTGAAGGAGGGCGCCCCCGCCCGCCCCCACCCCGGAGGTCCTAGCTGCAGACTGACTGACACCTGTTCTCCTTGTCCTCCAGGGCCGGCAGGGCCTCGGCTCCATCTTTGTCTGGGCCTCCGGGAATGGCGGGCGAGAGGGGGATTACTGCTCATGTGACGGCTACACCAACAGCATCTACACCATCTCCGTGAGCAGCACCACGGAGAACGGCTACAAGCCGTGGTACCTGGAGGAGTGCGCATCCACCCTGGCCACCACCTACAGCAGTGGAGCCTTCTACGAGCGGAAAATCGTGAGTACTCCTGGCCACGTGGCGAGCTCGGGGGAGGGGGGGCACACCCTGGCCCTCCGGAGGTCAGTTCCTTTTCTTAATGGAAAGACGAGGCAGGTCCAGGCCAGTCTATTCCCGGCCCCGGGGAACCAGCCTCACCCAGCAGTGACCTTGCCCAGCCTCTTGGCGACGGTCCACAGACCTGCCTTTCTACTCTTTGCACCAAAAATACCAATTAAAACCCTCTCTGCCATGAGAGCTCTAAAAATATCACTTAAGGGTGGGGTACATTCAGCGTGATGCGTCTGAAATCCTGTGGTCGCCTCGCTTGCGTTCCAACTGACTGGTTCTTTTTCTCCAGTAAGAGAGAAGCTGGGGTTTGTACAGGAGCAGTTTAGAAATCCACATCTTCTTCCAGACCTTCCCCAGTGACAAAAGCGCTTTCCTTGGACACTTTCTGGCCAGCAGTGCTTTGGGTCACTCCAGTCAAAGCACAGAAAGTGTGATTCAGCTTTTAAAAAGTAACTTGCCGCTCGGCATGCGGGTGGAATGTGGCTTCTTCCCTCACCCCTGTGTTTTCCTCCTTTAAAAAACAGGAGGAGGAGGAGGGGAAGGTTTCGAGTCCAAATTAATGCAGAATTCAAATGCACAGTCATTAAGTTGGTTTTTAGACGTTTTAAAAATGAGACCACGGAGCTGGCCAGACATGGATTAATTTTAAAGCTCACTAGCATCTTTTCATTTCTCCTGCTGCTTAACCACTTCTTTAGAGATTATTTGCAAATTTATTTTTGCATTTTTTCTGTGGGAGCATACAGGCTTCCTGTTCTCTGCTTTGCTCTGCACCAGCCCAAAGGTCAGCCACGACCATTCCATGGTCAGCCTGGCAGTGGCCTGGGCCAGTTAACGAAGGTATTAATTTAAGTTGTTATTTTCCTTTTCTCCGGGAGCGTGCACCCCTGGGACAGGCCGCTGAGATTCTCAATAGTGACCTGTTCCTCAAGGAATCCAGCTCGTTTGAACAGGGCCTTGCTGGGGTCTCACATGGAGACCTGCTGGCTGCAGTGGTGCAAGTGGGGTGTGTGGCCCCTTGGAGCCTAGAGACTTCATGCTGGGGGCCCCTACGGGTTCCCCAAGCAGGGGAGTGAGCAGGCCTGGCGGCCTTATCTGCTTGGTTGCTCACCAAGGGCGCACACGTGTGTGGGTGTGTACACATACAGCTGCCTCAGCTGCAAGGTGCTCTTGTTCTTTTCTTTCCTCTCTGTGCTGACCATATGGTAAGAAGAGTGCAGTTAACTACACAAGAGCAAACGCTCCCAGCCGGAGCTGCTGACTGTCTGGTGCTCTTCTTGGACAGTATGGGTGTCATTTCTCTTCTTTAGATCAATTCAGCTGACTTTTTGTGCTGAGCCCCTGACCCTGAGTAAGGGCCTGCGTCATCACCCTGGACAGCAGGCGGCACACAGCCTGCGGAGGCCAGGCAGGTTGGGATGCAAGCTCTGTGCTCCAGGCTGGCCGTTCCTCTCCGTCCAGGGAGTGCTGGCCACGGCACCTGCGGCGCGGTGGGGGATGCCTGGCTGAGAAGGGGTATTAGTGAAGGGACGGATGCCCGAGCCTCTCTCACGGGTCTGCCCTTCGTCCTCAGAGCACAGCCCGTGCTCCAGGCCACCCCTCCCCGCAGAGAGGCCCTTCTGCTCACTGACTGGAGAAGCAGCTGTGGGACCTCCCTTGCTCCGGGGAGCTTGGCCTCCTGCCCAGACACCCTCACTTTCCCTTACTGGTCACCACTAATCAAGCACAAGGATGTGCTGGGTGTCCACCTGTGGCCTTCACAGGGGCTGTGTGAAGGGCTTGTCACCATGCCCGTTTGCAAATGAAGATCCTGGAGGTGGCATCCTGCTCCCTGTTCTTTTGCCCTCAGCTGCCTTTCCCATCACGGAGATGCCTCACTTTTGGTCGGGGTACAGGGGGTTGCAGCAGAGGCTGGTCTCTGCTAGTGTTTCTGTTAAGTCCTCCTCTGTGTGTGATGCGGCCTGGATCCCTTCTCCCTGGGAGATGGCCCTCCCCACCCCCTGCTGAACGATAATGAAGGAAGATGCTCCTTGGGGAGGAGGGTCTGGCTTACATCATCTGGGGATTCTTTCTCGGGGGTTCTTCCAACAGTGGAGCCCAGCAGTTGGGTGGGTGCGTTTGCTTCCTCTTGCTTTCATTACAGATTAGCAGCTTGAAACAGCGCCGATGTGTTAGCTCCTAGCTGTGTAGGTCAGAGCGTTGCATGTCATGAGGCTGAGGTCCAGAGGCCGACCCAGCTGCTTCCTTGCAGGAGCCTGGAGGGGAGAATGCACTGCTCGCCCAGCGGGTGCTGGCAGAAGCTGAGCTCCCATTTCCTTGTGGGCTGTCCCCGAAGGCCGCCCTCGGCTTCCAGAGGCCACCCGCATGGCCTAGCTTGGGTGTCCAGCTCCCTGTCCCAAGAGCAGCACCGGGCCGGGGCCTCCTGTGCCTGCCTCTGCCTCCCACCATGAGGGGCTCTGTGATCGCTTTGCCCCTCCTCGCCCCCGAGATCAAGGTTACCCTCTTTGATTTAGAGGCAGCTGGGGAACAGCCTTAGTGGCAGCTGCAAAGTGCACAGGGGCCCAGTCTGTCTCGCACGGGGGTGTCACAGCACTGAACCCCCACGCGCTCCCACACGCTGCTTCTCCACTGCACGTCCAAGGCATTTGCGGGTAAGGCAGTGTGGTCCAAGGGCCCAGATGTGGGGTCGCCCCCTGGGAAGGGAGCACAGAGCCCCTGCCGGCCCGCGCGGGCCCTGTGAGGGTGAGCGCACCCTGGGTGGCCGCTCCTGTGGGTGGACACTGCTGTGGGTGGACACTGCTGCAGTCCGAGGAGGACATTCTGGGGGAGAATGAGCCTCAGCGGAAACTCCCCGGGCTAGCTGGGCTCCTCCGCGTGATCCCAGTTGTTCAGAAGTCGGGGGTGCCTGGGGGTGGCAGAGTGGGCTCTGGCGGGTCTGCCCGCAGGACCCCCTTTGTTTTACCTTGTCTGGCCTCCGGTCCCCCACACATCTCCGCAGTAGGCAGGGTCTCTGGCTTCCTGGTGCTGGTCTCCTGTGCTGCCTCGCCCTGCCCTCACCCCGTACGAGTTTGCCCTTTCAGCGGGTCCACGTCTGCCCAGAGCAAAGCCCCGTGGCGGGGAGCTCCAGAGGCCACAGGCAGGCGCCAGGCGGCCGAGAGGCAGCTGCGAGGGCCTGCCCTTCTCTGGGCCGCTGGGCCAGGCCAGCATCTTGAGTGGCCGCTGGCCTCGCCTGGAGCTGACGTAGCCCCTCGGCGCCCCCAGGTGACCACGGATCTGCGGCAGCGCTGCACGGACGGCCACACCGGGACCTCCGTCTCAGCGCCCATGGTGGCGGGCATCATCGCCCTGGCCTTAGAAGCCAAGTAAGTACCCACGCCCCTTCCTTTTCCCTTTTTCGAGAACAATAAAAACAAAAGCGGTGTTGCGGTGACATACACGCCATGTGGAGCGTGCCGTGGGGCACGTTGCTGTGTGACTGTCACCACCCTGCGCCTCGCTCGCTCGGCCGCCATCCAGAACTGAAGCCCTGTGCCCGGAAACAACGGCCCCCCGATTCCTCGGCTGCATCTTCCAAGGTGAAACGCCACAGGCTGGGGCTTTGCAACAGACCTCCGCTTCTGCCCGGCCTGGAGGCGGCGCTCCCCTGTGGGGGCGTGAGCGAAGCCACAGGAGCAGGGGCACCAACATGTAGACTCTTAGGGCCTTCGCCGGCCCTGGGTGCCTGGACCCCACCTTTCTGGGGGCAGCACTGTGAGAAGTGAAGAAGAAGGTGCTGGGTCCTCTGAGGCCTCTCCGTTGGCTTGGAACAACTGAGTTCTCCCTGTGTCCTCGCCTGGTCTCTCTCTGTCTCTCGGGTGTCTCCAGATCTAGAATTTTGTAGGGACACCAGAGAGGATGAGGACTCGCCCTAGTGACCGACCCCATTTCGCTTTCATTATCTCTCTAGAAACCCCATCTCCAGGTACCGTCAGACTCTGAGGTACGGGGTTAGGGCTTCCGTATATGCATCCAGGGAGGAACCGGAATCTAGTCCCTGACACCCCCATTCTCTTCCTCCCCACCATTCTACTGTCTGCCTGTGAACTCAGTGCGTCAGACTCGTCTGATTGGGCCCAGCCAGGGTTTGTCCTTTCGCGTCTGGCTCTTTTTACCCGCGGGGTCTTCGAGGTCTCCTGTGTGTGGTGTGTTCTTAGTGGATATGGCATGGGTCCTTCCCTTCATGCCCTTTGCAGCCCTCACAGTCTCTTCCCTTTGTAGGACCCCAAGGGGTAGGTGGGTCAGAACTCCAAGCCTGCCTCTCCTCGTGTATCGCCAGCCAAAATCAGACTTTGGACAGCTACGCTGCCCAGTGCATACGTTGACAATATATGGGTGAGGTTTTATCTGTCCTAAGCCAAATGCAATTTCTAGAGTTGTTAGTGCATAGATGAGTCATGAAGGAAAGAGAGTTTACTGTGCATGCAGCCCTGGGGTCAAAAGCACATTTTGTTTTTCCTTTTTTTAATCGTTGTATTGCAATATAATATCATAGAAATTCTAGGGGCTCGTCACCGGGCATCTGCATGTGTGATACTCCGTATGTATGTCTCAAAGCCCAGCTCTGTTCTTCAGTTCACCATTGCCCCCACCCTGTTACCCCCTTCCCTTCTGGGTGACCACTAATTGGTCTTCTAGTCCAGAATTTATTTTTTGTTCTATTTAACTCATCTGAAATGTTTAGACTTCAGAGCTGGCTCAGAACAAACCAGCCATTTGAAGTAGTATTTGTTGCAGATGAGATTTTAAATGATTCAAAAATCATGTTTGGGATGCTTAAACCCTTGTAATTATGTATGTTTGCATGTTGATTTGCACAAGGCAAAAAAGCATAAAACTCAAATGCTACCAATTTAGCAAAGTAGCAGCTAAATATTTTCAATTTCCAGGCCAAAATGTTAGCTTCTGTGTCCTGGGGCTCTTTTTAAAAATTCTAAATAATTAGTTCCTTGAGTGGAAAGCTGCATTCCCATGCTTAGCAACTCATTGTTCCAGGTTTTCTTCCATTATTGGAAACAGGCATGGAATTTTGTTAGCTGAAGCTAAATAGAAAACAAACCCTGTTTCGATGCCCATTAAACTTGGCCCGTGGACACATGAACACCCCAATAGTAATCTTCCTCATCATGTAGCTTCTCAGAAATTTACAGGTGGCGAATAAATCAAACTGCACTGAAAACACTTAAAACTTTGAAATGGATGCATTGGTCTAGGGAGTAACACATTACATACCGGACATGGGGGGCCTGAGTCAAGGAGATTGGGGGCCTTGATGCCAGGCCTGTGGCTCTCGGGCATGGGTGTGGGTGGGGGAGCTGGGCAGGGTGTGAGGGTGCTATGTCCATTATGTGCAAGAATTGTCCCAACGTCATCTCACTGTTTGGAGCCAGTCTTGAGAATTCCCGTGGATCCCTCTTCATCAAGTAACATTTCCAGCACCCTTTTTAGACATGTTTCCCATACAGCTGATATTCTGATTTCCTTGCTGTTGGCTGTAAGTTTGGATTGCCTCATAATGAGGTGGTGTCTAGCTTTCTCTCTCTTTCTGGAACTCACACTTCCTACTGGCATCTGGCTGTGGCCATACTTTCACAAGACCCACTGACACAGGCAGTGACTTGTCCCAGCTCTTAGGTGTCCCTGAATTTAGCCATGTGTGCTCTGAGCCCCAAAGCCTGTGCCCCACTCCACCAGAGAGCAAGACTGTGGATCACCTGGGACCTCAAAATCTTCCTCTAACAATGAGGTAGCCATGGGCCCTCGGGAGAGGCAGTACAAGCGTTTGATTGCAAGTCAGCCATGCCCAGCTCAGGCCTGGACACTGCACTGAGGGACACAGTCAGGATGAGACAGACCTTGGTCAGTATTCCTGGTGACTGGCACAATGGCAGGGACATATTGGGGAAATCAGGAGAGACTAGGATGAGAGCCTTAAGAGTGGGAGCCAAAGGGGAGAATGCATGTGTACCCTACAACTCAAGCCATGGGTGGCCTCTGGTAGGAAAACAGGCAGAGGGGAAGTTGGTGGGAATGTAAAGTGGTGCAGCTGCTATGGAAAACAGCATGGTGATTCCTCAAAAACTTAAGCAGAATTTCTGCAGGATCCAGCAATTTTGCTGGTGGGGAGAAACCTGAAAGAATTGCAGTCAGAGACTTGAATGTCTGCATACCAGTGACACAGCAGCTTTATTCACAGCGGCCAAAAGGTGGAAAGCAACCCAAGTACCCATAGGTAGATGAATGCATCAACAAAAACCATGCAAGTGATGGAATATTACTCAGCCCTGAAAAGGAAGGAAATTGCAACATGGGGCTACCATATGGATGAACCTTGAGGACACTGTGCTAACTAGAATAAAACAGGCACAAAGGGTAAATACTATCTGATTCCATTTACTTGAGGCTCTCAGAGTAGTCCCTTGCAGAGGCACAGAAAATGGAATGATGGTTGTCAGTAACTAGAGATGGGGATGAGAAGTTGGTGTTTTCATGGGTGAAGAGTGTCAACTGGAAAGAAGAGAGAGCTCTGGAGGTGGTGGTAACAGATGCACAACCATGTGAATGGGCTAACAGCACACTCAGCACACTTACAAGTGGTTAGGATGTTATATTTGTAAACACGTATAAACCAAGTGGCTGATGGAAAGAGTGGTGGCCGATGTGAGTCTGGTAGCCCCAGCAGGGAGGCTTTGTCTGTGGCCCGGTCATAAGGTTGTGCTCCGAGCAGGTTACGAGATGCCATCGTATCATGGATCTGGAACTGTGAAACAAAGCAGAAAATTTTAGCTTAGAATCAAAGAATTCTGCTTTATGCATTTATGTCACTAGACATGAGTTCTTTTATTGAAATGTTCCTCCTTTGCACCAAAATAAAAATACTGTACATTGAGAATTACTACATTCCTGAATGAAAATCTGTAACTGCTGGGTTCATGCAGGGTGGGATCTGGGTACACGGCAACTTGAGCTCTGATGCACCCCAGAATCAGCTCCTTGTGCTGGGAATAGCCCCAAAGACTGATAGCCCATGGCTGTTTTGTTGAGGAGGTCCTTCTCATTGCTAAAATTCCTTATGTAACCCTTGCACACACTCAAGGGTTTTTTTTAATTTGTTTAACTATTTATTTATTTATGCATACAGAAATGGGGTACAGGCCAGAGGTGCAGGGGCAGTGAGAGAATTCACCAGAGACAGAGTGGGGAGAAGAACAGGCAGATGGACGAAGTACACTGCTGAGGGGAGCAGCAGGCGGGTCAGGAGATGTCTGCTGCGCCATATTGGGGCTGGAGATCGAACTCGCACCAAAGCAGCTGTGACCAGCTTGCACGGCTGAGTCCCAACCCGTTGCACCACCAGGGAGGGCCCAAGCCTGGGTTTTTAATGCTCATGAATTTGAAGTCACCCCTTGAACTATTTTATCTTAGGATTTAATCACTGGAAACCATTCTTTACAAAGAGGTAGTGAAATAAGCCCTTCCTGCATGGAGCCTGAAGGGCCCCTCAAGTCTGGACTTAGGCTGGCTCCCCAGGGCACTGTCTCTGCTGGGCCTGTGCTGCCATTGTGATGGGCCTGATGGCTCCAACAGCCTGTCCTGTGTCATTGCAGCAGCCAGTTAACCTGGAGGGATGTCCAGCACCTGCTGGTAAAGACGTCAAGGCCGGCCCACCTGAAAGCCAGTGACTGGAAAGTCAACGGTGCGGGTCATAAAGGTGAGTGGCTTCTCCTGGGCCAGGCGAGGGCCGATCACCCCTCCTGGTAGGCCCCTCTGGGAGGCCTCCTGGGGTCTGCATGAAAGGGTGATGTGAATTTCTCAAGAAGAAGTTCCAAATATCATAAGAATGGAAAGGATGTAGCCAGAAATTTAAGGAAAAAAATCCCAGGACATTACATTGGCATTCGCAGAGAAACCTGAGGTCCCTAAGGTCAGGACCCCTAAATTTCGTGATTTTTACCACATGTAGGCACCAAGTGTCTGATATAAACTTAGTCATTCTCCTTAAACTCTCTTTAAATTGACTGCCTATTCCATTTTTTCCCCCATAAAGAAATGTATTTTGAAAGGATACTTACTACATCTGGTTAATCACGGGCTTGATGTGTCATTATATTTTTTTCATGCCCATGAGCACAAGATCACTGTGTGTGTCGCCTTGGAATCCGCCCTGAGTAGCTCTGAGATTTTGAAAGGAGACCTTAGTTTCTTCAACGGGAGAGGACAGTGAGATAGTTTTGTAAGTTACTTTCTAACTGTAAAACTGTCAGCAAGCCCTCATCTTCTAAAGTGAAGTCATAAAACAATGAGGCCTCTACCTTCCTCACTGCCCGCTACAGACCCAGGTACCATGAAATCAACCCATGGTCTCGGCTCGTAACCCAGAGACTCAGAATCTCTCAAGCAGGTGATGATTGCACTGCCTTTTCGGGCGTCTTAGCAGAGATTCGTGAAAAACGTTTCCGTCATGGTATAGTAGGGAGGACTTTTTTTTTCTGGTGCTCAGGTTTAATTCTTTCAACACCCTGATACTCCTCGCTGCTGTAAAATGTAGGCCAGGCGTGCTTCCCCTAAGTCCAAGGGACGTCGCTCGCATAAAGAGGCCACTGATGTGGGCTGAACACCTCTGCTTCACAGGAGTGCTGGTGGCGGTGGTGTAGGCTATACCGAGAGCTGACCTACATTTCAATTTTGGCCTAATTAAATAGGAAAACGGAGATATCAAGTTCTCAACCTTGCCTCTTAGAATGAAGCCTTGAAACTCTCCTGTCTTGGCCAAATCAAACATGGGCTCGGGCCAGCTCATGAGCACACTCAGGTCCGTGTGGGGTGCAGTGATGCTCCCTCTGAAGGCCCTGGGGGTGATGGCAGGGGAGGAGCGCAGCCTCACTCTGCCACAGTCACTGCGTGTCATGGTCGCGTGAACCCCGAGGCGCCAGGCTTTGTTTCCTGCGTCCAGAAACCAGCGATTCTCGTTCGTGTCTTTTTCTCATGAGAACGAGCTACATGGCCCTCTGTCTCCACATGTCCACTCTGCACCCTAATGGAACGACCTGCCCTGGCGAATTTCCTTCCCCGACCACCTCCCCTGAGACATGTGGTTCAGAGAGAAAGTCAAGCAGGGGGCCTGAGAGCTGTCCTCAGAGGGCGGCCCTGCGCCGGGGCCCGGGGCGGTCTGGGCCCTGCAGCCCTGCCGTGACACCAGTGTTCTGCCAGACCGTGGCAGCCACGGGGCAGCCGGGAGCCAGGCTGCGAGGGAGCCGGGCCTCGCGCCTCTCCTGAGGGAGCAAGGGCAGTCGGGACTGAAGGCTGTCTTTCCAGTTAGCCATCTCTACGGATTCGGCTTGGTGGACGCAGAGGCCCTGGTCATGGAGGCGAAGAAGTGGACGGCGGTGCCGGCACAGCACATGTGCGTCGTAGCTGCGGACAAGAGACCCAGGTGAGTCTCCCCGCACCTGGCCGGCTGGACCGCACCTGCTGTAGTGCACTGATTGGGCGAGGGGACACATTCCCTGTGTGTGTGTGTGTGTGTTTGTGTGTGTGTGCAGGCGCATGGCAGGGTGTATAAGCGTGTCTCATGACTTGTGAAGCCAGGAAGAGTATCTCTTCCTAACCCGCGTCTGTGTTGGGTCCTTTTGCTCTTGGGGGTCACTTCCCTCTCTCAGGGGCGTAGGGAATCCGCTCCTTCACTGAAACCTCAGCCTGGTGTTGGAGATTCTTCTCCATAGGATTAGCATTGCTGACCACTCAGGGCCCTGCCTGCCTGGAGTGTTAATGGGGAGCGGCAGTGAGTGTCCCCTCTGTTGTCACCCACTGGTGGCCTCAACCCAGCCAGCCCAGCCTGCCCACCCGCAAAGCCTGTGGTGTGACTCTTTTGGTCAAGGGCAAGAGTGGCAACTTCCGTCCCTTCTCTGGTGCAGGCGAGGTTTTATGCAGAGCACAGCACAGCTCTGAGTTCCTTTTATGTAGACTCAGATAACACTTCTGTAGACTTAAAGGGGGGCTTTGGCAGTGCACCCTGGGGCTCTGGCCACATCTTCCTCCATGGGGAGGACATACCTGCCTTGGCCCATCTAGCAAGTTGTTTAAATCAGATGCTGATATGTGTAGTCTGTATTTATTATGTAAAGAAAAAAAAACCACCATCCATTGGGCCCTCCTCCGTGCTCCCTCCAGCCGTGCTCCACCCCACGGTGCTCCCACCCTGCCGTGCTCCACCCCACCGTGCTCCCACCCTGCCGTGCTCCCACCCCGCCGTGCTCCCACCCTGCCGTGCTCTACCCTGCCGTGCTCCCTCCCAGCCATGCCCCACCCCGCTGTGCTCCCCCCCACTGTGCTCCCACCTCACTGTGCCCCACCCCATACTCGTCCCTCCGGTTGTCTAAGTTTTGTGGTCACAGTCCCCTGGCTGTTTATTTTGTCCACTGACCTGCTTTGTGTCCTGATATCCCACATGTGGGTGATGTCAGCGTGTTTGTTGTTCTCTTTCTGACTTACTTTGCTTTGCATTATGCAAAATGTTAAGTTAAAATGAAATCAGCTGTAAAGTCAACCAGAAGCAGGGATGCTACTCCTTGAACAGAGGAAATCACATGATTCTTCTGAATTCTGCCATTGCAGCATCCTTTCTAAGAAAGAGGATGGTGTGTCTCTAAAACTAATACATGATTTTTAAGCAAATGGAGTGCATTTCTTTCTAGCTGGAGCTCACTGTTACCTGTAGAAAATAGGTGTTCGAAAAAGAAACGAAGAGGTCATTAAAGGTGACTCTTGCTTTATCAGCAAATAGAGGTCACTTTTTGAGATTGCCTCATCCTTGAATGCATCCACCTCTTACAACATGCCCGTTGCTGTAAAAGGTGGCCTAAAGTATTTCTTGATGATGCCTTGCAGTGTACTAGGAATTCTTCTAGAAAGTACTGGCTGGGTGCATGGCCATGGAAGGGACTTTTGAAAAATTGTGTCTTGCCCTGCTGTTCATCGTAAAGACTGGCTTTGGCATGACCGCCCGAAGGCCAGCCGACAAGCAAGCAAATCTCATTCTTGACATTTTGAAGCATCATTTTCTCCGGGGAGCCTTACACACAAGTTGTCTGAGATAAAGCAGGCTTTTGCTTTCTTTCGCTACATTTGTTGGAAAACGCCTCGCACAAGTCAGGCGCCGCCGGACCGAGGGGCCCGCAGTCTGCTCCCGACCCCCGGTGCCCACGCCTGCAACTTTCCTGCCCACAGTCCCCCAGCCGGGCGGTTCCTGAATGAAGCATTCTTCTCCCGCCAGAAATAGTTTTAAGATGGTAGAGTGGTGCCTAGGTGGCGAGGGGTTGTTTTTATTTTTATTTTATTTTGTTTTTTAAGTGAAAGCGCCTGGAGTCTAGACAGCACAGGCTGAGGGCCCCAGCCATAGCACACAGTGTGACATTGTTCCTGTCCTTTGAGGGAAGAAAGGACTCACCAGTTCCTGTGCAGGGGAAGAATCAGACTTCTGTTTCCAGGGAAAAGTCATCTTTACATTGAGCCACTTCAGTCTCTCTGGAATACTCAGCCAACCTGCTGTCTGTCCCAAACCACAAGCTTACCGACACAGTTAATTGTTCCCCAGTTCACGAGGGGAGAGGGTGGAGGAGAGACAGAAAGAGAGTGAGGCGTGGCAGACAGAAGCTTCCTTTGTACCCCGAGTGCCCTCGCCATTGTCACCTGCCTGGCGCTTGAGCCAGGACTCTGGCATCCGCCTGGCTTCGGCTCGCTTCTGTCCTCGGGGCCCTCGGCTGGCTTTGCCTATTCTTCTGGGACCATTTGGCTTAGAAACGGAGAGAGCTTGTCCCCACACCTCTCTTCGCTGCCCCCTCTGCACACACAATCCCCATTCAGGTGAAATCCTCAAACCTCTGAGTGTCCCAAGCCAGGCTGAGCGCAAAGTGAGAGACAGTCAGACTCACAGGCCTGTGCAACTGCGTGCAGCATGCTCACTGCTCTCCTCTCGAGCAGGACAGGGCCCCCGTGGTAAGCAGAGAACGGTGTCCGCTGGACATGTGGGTGTCCTAGTGTGGGCAGGGTCACAGGTTGTGCAGCAAGTTTCAGGGCCAGGCGTGATGGTCACTTGCCAGGGGTAAGAGTGGGGTGCAGTGACCTCTGTGTCCTCTCCTGCTCTCCAGCCCTGACCTGGCCTTTGCCGTGGTTCAGAAAGAGGTTCCGCATGGCCAGTAGGAGGACCCTGTCCGCAGGTCCCTCCTGAAGGCCCCAGCCTGCGCTGCGATGCCAGCATGGCACTCGCTGTGTCCCAAGGGAATGCCAGGTACCTGTGGGTGTCGCTGCACTGACGTTCTCTGCCCCATACCACCTTCACCTGACCTTGAGCGTAGGCAGAAAGGCTGGCAGCAGAGCTGAGGGGGCTGCCCTGAGAGCCAGGCAGGAAGCAGCCCCATCAGGAGGAAGAGGAGGCAAAGCTGAGGCGTGGCTGATCTACAGTTGTCCTTCGCCTCCTGGGGGACAGGTCAGGCCCCAACACGCCAAAGACCAGAGTCTGAGGATGCTCAAGTCCCTTCACTGCAACAGTATATTTGCATCTTATATCCGTCCTTCTTTCTCCTCCGTGTACGTAAATCAGGCTGCTGACAATACCTGACCCAAGGCAGGTGTTATGTAAATGGTTGTTACACTGTATAGTTTAGACAAGAAAGAAAAAAGTGTACACACTCAGGACAGACCCAGCGACCTCATAGTCCTCACTACGTCGCAGTTTTCCATCCTCTGTGGGTTGAAGCTGTGGATGCGCAAGTTGTGACTATAGAGAGCTGGCTGTAATTTGAAGAATGGCCATGCAAAGGGGCACCCAAAAGTGAACCCCAAATATCAGCATTTCTAGTCCGGATGCTGCACTTCTAGGCTGTGAGGTTTGGGGATGTAGGCTGCCTCTGTCGAGATCCCCCATCTGAGAGAGAGTAAAAGTCCCCAGCAGCATGGAACTAAGCCAGGGAGCCTGACCAGAGAGACGGGAAGAGAGAGGTGAGCATGGGGGGAGCAGGCCCGCGCCCCTCACTTCCAAGGTGCTACCAGATTTTGCTGAGTCTCTTCTGTACAGTGTCGCTCACCCCGAAACAGACCAAGCTCCCCTAGAGGGCAAAGCACCCCAAAGGCAACTTCGGTGAGCACTCTATCTAAATACAGGGACAAGGAGGAAGTCACTTGAACGCCACAGAGGCACGCTCGCTAGCAGAATGACGTGCCAGAGCCCTTCCGGACACACCGCTGTTTAAAACTTTTCTTCAATTCAAGGAAAATAAATAGAATTATGACCAGTGATAGCTCTGTGCAAAACTACTTTAACATCTCAGTGTTAGATAGAGAAGGATGGATACTTTTATTGACTTTCTTCGAGCGGAAAAGAAAATCAAGCTTAGCATAATTCCTGTGAATGAGCAAGAAACCCAGTTATGAAATAATCTTATTTGACCCTTCAGGGTTTTCTAACCAGTTCTTCCCTTGCGTCTTAAAATATCCAGGCTGCTGTGGAGCAGTTTATGAAGCTTTGAGCAAAGAATATATTGTAAGTGATGAAGAATTAACCACTGGTTTAACCACTTGCTGCTCTTATTTTTCTGGTATTTAATGAAGCAGACCATGCATGATGGCCTTTTTATAACCACTCTATTTATAAATAATACATAAGCATAGTGGATAATGATCATAAGAGAGGATAATGACTATCAGGCGCTGGTGATGTACCTGACATGATTCTGAACCCTTCATGTGTATTAACTATTCAAAAACCTTGACAAGAATGCGAGATTTGGGGAAAACTGAGGCAAAGGAGTTAAGGAACTGGGTAGGATACAGTGGGGTTGAGCCGCCCCCAGCGGCCTGTCTCCCAGAAGGAGCACGTCACAGGAGCTCAGGACTAGACAGGTGGAATGACCTGCTTGTCCCCCGGGAGACCGCTCCCCCCACTTCTTTCCATGGCCCTGAGGAGCTTCCCTGGCCTGGATCAACTGCCTGTGGGGGTGGGAGGGTTGCGCAGGGGATGGGGTGGGGGGGCCCCAGCCCAGGTGTCTCATCTGGCTGTAGCTGACTTGGTGAGCAGGACCACATGGCCACAAAACCCTGTTGGGGGACCTGTGTGGCCCCAGGAGCCCACTTGTGCAGGCACAGCCTGGTCTCACGTCTCTTAAGAAATTAACAGCCCCTGTTCCCTTTGGACTCTGTCCCAGGCAGATGCCCCCTACTCCCCACCCCCACCCTGCCTAGTGCCTCCTTCCCTGGGACCCCATGTGTGCACATCTGGGGGCTGTATGGCACCCTTGCTTCTGGTTTCTCTATGCAGTCACTCTTACATAGGGGTAAGAAAACTCTTGGTGTGCTCTGCAGCCCTGGCCTAGGGTAACTATGCCTGCACCATGACATTTGTCTGTTTCCTCATCTGTCCTGATACCAGACACTGTGAAC